GTATTCGAGCATTTAAATCTCCAACAAGAAAAACTTCAACTTTCTGATAATCAAGAATAATTCATATAAGTAGATGGAATGATTGACTCTAATTTTAAGTGTGTGGGGAATAGAGAGGTATAAACAATGGTGCAAAGTAACAAACAGTCAAATAACTATAAGATACTCTAGCCAATCCAAGATGAAGAGAATGATATTGATCTCCAATATCTTGACTTTCTAGATGTATCAAAGGTAGAAATTGAAATCTAATGAAAGTAGCAATACCGCCATAGTCTCTTCTTGCTCGTTGACTTCTATGATTTTTAGTGGATCCCACCAAAATAAATTCTGGTATATCTCCAATAGTGTTGTGCTCATGTTCTCGCGTCTCCACAATGTTGATAATGTGCGCTATCAAATCGGATCAGCACTCACATACTTTGTTGTAGAAAGACCTTTAATATTCCACAATAAGATACTCAAGCTCTTGGATTGCTAGGTTGATATGTATAGATTGGAATTTTCACATTTCTATAAGATAATGAGGGGGATATTATCTCATTAGTTTGCCGAGGTACCATTGCTTTTAGATGTAAATGTCTATTTAAAACTCCAAACTCTCAAGTTTTCAATGCCATAGAGAGAAATAGTTGTTGGTAAAACTAAACTATCTACATATGATTATTCGGATTCTCATTTTAATTGTAACTTGTTTTACTTAGATAGTTTGGATTTAACACATTAATGCTACTAATAAAGCCCCAAGTTAAAGTTTTAGTTAGTATGGTTACAATGCGTATAGACTAGAAACTTCACATTTTTATAAGATAATGAGAGGGATCTTATCCGTAATAGGCTGCAATTAAAGCCCCAAGTTACAGTTTTCGTTCCATCCATTTCAGACTTGATGGATATTTCCATATTATTCTTTGCTCGAAATCTATTCTTGCTAATACAGGATGCACACATCCTCAAGAATCCTTTATTTTGTCAGCCAAAAACAAACTAGTGTAATAGAGGATAATGGTGTTATAGACGGTAAAGAGTCTACCGCAGACTCTCTCGTGGGAAACCTTTTTCTTGTTTACGGATGTGCAGCGCAGTTAGCAGCAAACCAAAAACGTGTTCACCGTAGTCAAACGTAACTGCCGGTTCAGTAATCTTGGTTTCCCTGCGCGGCTCTCTTTTCTGCGAAGCATGTTGCCACCAGCGTCAACAACAAGCAAGACAATGTCCAATTTCATTCTGGATTCCGGAACTCTGAACGCTGACAGTTGGCCACAGGTTCTTCACTTTCGTTGTCCAATTCATGCTTCGAACTGGAAAAAACAATCGACGATACGATCTTTGTGGAGTGGGACGTAACCCATTAGCACTCGGTTCCGTCAAATGCTGCCGCTGCCTCTGCAGCTCCAAAGGCGATTGCAAATAGATCAACAACAGATCCTTGAAATTTGATATGTTTGGCTCTCGATTTCTGTGTTCAATACAAGTCAAGAGAAAGGGGCAGAACCTGAGCTCTTGTCGAGATTATTATCTGGGTATACCAACAATATGTCATGCCCTACTGGCATAATCGAAAGTAATCGAGTCTGGACTTTGTTTCATGTGCCGAGGAATGCATGGGATTACAGTCATACACCAAGCAAACTAAACTCTGCACATTGACTGGCATCTCTTTGACTTGAAGGATCAAACGTCACCTCAGTAACTAATCATCGTGGTCTTTGAATATTATCTCCTTTGGATCCGAGGGATATCGATACCCGGGGAATGTCACGCGGCACTTAACAGGTACGGTGCTGCCTGTAGAAGGGCAAGAAAATGTCAGAACTGGATCTCAGACTAATAGAGTATGGGGATTCTTCTGAATATCATAGCTAAGCTCCAGATGATATTCAGAAGAAATTTACAGCCTCTCACTATAGTGAGAGGCTATGTGATAGACAGCCACAAACCTCGATTTGAAGGAGTATATTTCGATATCAGTATTTAGCTGCAGTTTTCGATCATGACACGTAAATGAGGTTTTCCTCGGATGCAGTACGTTGACCGATCAACCTAGACTGTGTATATCATTCCAATTAGGCTCCTCGGATTCGGGTTCTCACATTTCAGATGAAAAATATGATTGTCATTACACTCCTGAGAGTCGTAAGTAGTGAAGAGAACCAGACTAAACGTCTTCCGCTTAAAAGCTATTCAGTAGCTCGATCGCGCAGCTTACAAAGTCATGGTCTAGATTCGTCCGGCGACTTTCTCTGAATCGCACAGCAATAAGTCAAAGTCTCTCCTCATCCTATCCACAAAATGCAAGCTTTTTCTGTTGTCATTGTATAAACAACTGACTGAGCCAAACGAGACATGGTCAGGTTTTCTAGACCTGACCATTACAGAGAAAGCTTACAGCTTCCTCTGTAAGCTTATCGCAACGTACTCATGATATATTGTGCACCTAAAGCAGCTCCTTTTATAACAACGTTTGCTACTGTTCTATTCCAGCAACAGCATCAGATTTAGGTTATTGTACACTTGTCATTATCAGCAGCTACTAAAAAAAATGTCCCCACCGTACGAAGCTGTTAGCACCATGAGATCATAACTAGCAGACAGGTTACTCACGTGTGTTAACCGTGGACCACACAAAGTGGCACTATAAAGTACTGCAGCTCATGAAATGAGATTTAAAGTAGAAAGCACTGTGAACTGAAGTCAGAGCGTAAGTCCAATCGCACTTTCGACAATCAATAGCATTATATTCACCTTCAAACTTCGCTATGTTTCTCAGGTTGATGTTAGCAATGTCAATGGATATCATATTTCTTCGCTGGATGCTTTACCAGGAGAGAACGTACTTATCCTTCAAGGCAAGAATGTATAGACTGACTGGAAAATCGCACGCAGGGACTTGTTCTTCGAAAAATTACTTCATTTCATCACACTTTCATCAGTCAGATCTGCACACTGAACGGGCAAAGCTAAGAGAGGGTTCTCAAATCGCGCGCTCATGTCAGAAATCTCACGCGTTATATTCCAGAGAGGATCCGGCCACAGAGATTCTCAGTGTCTTTGGCAAACAGGCTTCTGGGTCCTGTAAAGACAATGATGGACGGTGGTTCAAGGTGGCTCTCGGCCCCGAAGAAGATTAAACAATGAGATGTGGACCTGCTTGGGTCCGAGGCAGTCCGGCTCATGAGTGCCAAATCGCCGACTACGTTATCTGAGAGTCTAGACCAGCTTCACATTGCTGTCGAGTCGTATGTATGTATGTATGACCGTGCTCACAGTGTCGACAGCTGCGTCGATTTCAATGAACTCCACGGATCGCCATATGTCTCTGTCTGAGAGAAGGCTCCCCCAGCCTAGCCTTGATAATGATCATCTGAATATCGCCGTTAGGGACAAAATGATCAGGCCCTGGGCTCGTACAGTGCACTGGATTCAACAGTGCCTCGGTCGATCCATGTACAGGTGGGATCTTTTCAAAAGAAGGGCCTGAGGAGATCCAGAGTAAAAGATTGTGGGGAAAAGAGTAAAAGCTGTCAAGTGGGTAAATGATGCTGCTGCTGCATGGTCGAACGACACGACTGGAGAGATATACGCATCGAACCGAGTGGAAGAGAGAGAAAGGCGCTTGCTCGTGCAAGTGGGCCTTCGTATGCCGTTAGCTAGGCAGAAGATGCCGAGGTTTGGCATGAATACCTGACCTGTGAATGAATGTTCGTGTTTCCACTCGCCGGACATTCTAGACACAGGTACAGAGCATCATCAAGATGGTAGAGAAAAAGAGGCGACGAGAACTTTAGAACCAGGGAACTGGTCGACACACGGTACATGCGTCACGACCCATTGTGCATGCTCCCTCCAGCTCTAGCGTTAGCCCACTGTTGACAGAATCCGAGACACTGAGCGAGGTTTGGTTCTAATCAAGGCTCAGATCAGTCTCAGGATTTTAATTTCTATATCCTCACGAGGTCGAGACCGAGAAACCTCACCGCGTTTGCAACACGCTTGCATGTTGACGGATATCATGTCGAGGGAGGCCGAGTATCTGATGCGAGTGTCACCGCTATGTGACGGACGATGACGAGAAATTCTTTGGCCAAGACCATGTCCAACAATTTGTCTGGAGCATTAGAGGTAATAGTCACGTGAGTGACATAAACCATGAGATCATTGGCAAAGGAATGTGTTACAAGTGCCGAGTTATCTCGTCTCAGAAAGTGAAAAGCCCGAAAGCAAACCTTGCAACTTTTCCGCAAGTCCTGACCACTTTGTAAATGTAAGAATATCGGACATGATTACAAGGACTGGGTCACGCATTCATGGCTGCATAGAAGTTCGCATCTTCCATATCTGACGATACTGACCATACCCTAAACAACAACAACAAAATTTCTAGGCTATGCGACTAGCAGCCTCCTTCCTCCTTGCTGATAGTTGGTAACATATCCCCAAGGTTTGATTTTCAGAACATCATGGGCATTATCGCGTCAGATGCAAAGGTAGACATGTGTGCACAATGGCGTGAAGTTTCCAATATTCCTTGTACTATTACAATAGGCGACATACTTCCTACGAATTGACCGAATGGAAAAGATGCACAGATGAAAGCTCCCGTTGGCGTAGTTTACTCGCACGTCACGAAGAGACCAGAATTCCAAGCTCTTCAAACGTCGTTATGGAGGGATGAAGTTCACCTGCACCGACACTTCAAGGAGCCGCCATAAAAAATACTGGTCCAACTGCTTTCTGAGCAGATCTAAATATCAGAGAAATGTCCAAAGCTCCAAATTTATTAGCTGCCCCTGCCCGACAGAGTAGTTGATATACCCAGCCCCTCGCCGACCTCCACAGTCGATTCCACTCAGCGATACTGCCTCTAAGAAGCAAAGAAGAGATTCTCTGAACTCGGCAACTTGCCCAGCACGTGACTGACTGGGTCGCCATGGATGATGACAACAGGAACGTTAGAGAGCCCACGGCCTCTATATGAAGGGTTGAACTGTGTGTAGGATTAGAAGTTTAGATTCATCGGCCTCGAGGTCTGATATTCATCGGACTCAAACGAACTCGGACATTCTCGAAGACCTCCCTCCTGAACTGCAAACTAGGCTGCACACTGCGATCTTGTCGAAGATGGCCGCCACGAACGCCAGCACCGTTTTCACGTACATGTACGATCCCCAGTCATGGACTTTTGGGACAACCAGTTTGATCGTCGCAGTGGTGGCTGTTGTGTCAATCCGCGTGCTCACTATCGGGATGGAAAGGAGGAAGTACAATATGCCACCGGGTCCTCGATCCTATCCGCTGATAAAGAATATGCTCGAGATGAAAGGGGTGGAAATGCACGAGACATGGTGGAGCTTGTCGCAGACTAACAAGTGGCCCGTTATGAGCTTCGGATTCATCGGTAAGCCAACTATCATCGTGAGCTCTCCAGAGGCAACGAAGGAGATGCTTGTCACGAAGGGTACCATCTTCAATTCACGGGACAAGGATACTTACGCCAGCCTGGGCCTGACGATGAGCCCCGATGGTAAGTCCGAGATGGGAGCTCTTTTCACGCCTCACGGTCCTTCATGGAAGATAACCAGGAAAATCATGGTGGCAGGACAGAACGAGTTCAAGAAGATTATGGGGGACGATTACGTCGTGAACGTTCTTCTGCCACAACTGTACGCGGAAATTGACAACGAAGTTGCGATCGATGCTCGCACTCGAGTCGCCAAAATGATGGTAATGAGGATATTGCTGGTGTTCGTCTTCGGGCCCGGAGCTGAGCAGTACGCCAATATGCTTGTTCCTCTGAACGATGAGCTCTTCCGTGTCGTGGACATCAACAACAGGATAGAGTTCTTTCTCCCGCCTATTGCGAAGCCGGTGTCCTGGGTTTATTATAGGCTGTTCCAGAAGGGTCTCGTCGCAAAAAAGCACAAGGCTTACGAAGAAATCCTCTCTCAACGGGGCATAAGGTAAGTGAACGCTTAAGTGATCTTCGGGTCTTTCTGTGCTGTTTGCAATCTAGCGAGCAAGTCTGAAAGCAGAGATCCTAATTGGGAACCAGCTGTCTTCAGCGGTCTGTCAGTTCCTGACTTCCCACCTTGTGCTCCACTGGGCTTTTGGATTTAGCTGTATCAGATGTCAGAGTTCTCCGGATTTTACGGATTCCCAGGAAGGTTCCAAGCTCACTTGCCTACCTGGATTAGGCCAATCGCTGCAGACAATCGTGAGTCGTGGTTCGGTTTGACATCCTTAATGGATCGAGGGTGTATCCGAGCACGAACTTCACGCACGTGCTGGCTGTGAGTTTGTGGCTGCAGGTATAATTTGAAGAACGAGTGGTCTCTGAGTGACATGGTTCAAGAATATGAGAGGAATGGCGAGATCAACCACCATCAAGCACTCCAGATATACGAGGAGTGCTTCTTCGGCGGCCAAGACACGACGGCTGGCGCAGTCGAAGGGATTCTGAAAATGATAGTCGAAAATCCGAAAGTTCTCGTGAAGGTGCAGCAAGAGATGGACGAGGTGCTGGGTGAAGGAGAGCAGTTCAGACTCACTGACGTGGAGAGGCTGCCATACTTTCAAGCACTGATCAAGGAGGGCCTGCGGCTTCACCGAGCTATCCCCGTGCTGAATCCTCACTGCGCACATGAGGACTCAACTCTCGGAGGCTACGACATCCCGAAAGATACACTGGTGACGGTGAACATTTGGGGTCTAGCTCGAGACCCGGAAGCTTTCCCCGATCCTTATGAGGTGAAACCCGAGAGATTTCTCGGTGTAGATACGAACTATAGCGGGACGGACGGCAAGTACATTGTCTTCGGCCTTGGGCAGCGCATCTGCCCAGGTCAAAGTGTGGCTCTGTTCATGGTGAACATGCTGATCGGAAGCCTGTGCCAACGGTACAAGTTGGCTCTAGCAAAGGACTGGAAGCATGAACGTGACGCGGGTACCTTCTTCAAGGAGGTCGCTCTGCACCTGAATTTGATGAGACGGGTTGATTCTCACGAAATTGCTGGATAGAAGGTCTCAAAGGCAGAAAATTAATCTGAATAATTTGTTAGAATGGTTTTACTGGGAGCGGACCTACTGGTGCTGAAGGTGATGAAGGGTTCGGTGGTCATCGAGGCGTTGTGATATGGCAACATGGCAATTTATGAACATTAGTGAGGAGAACTCTCGAGGCATTGCTTGGCTCTTCTAGGAGCGGAGTCGATCTCGACAGGTCTCAACAAGCCCCGTGATTGTATGTTAGTGAACTTAAACTCAATCGTTCGAAAATTCTCGTAAAATCCGAATGGTCAGTTTCGGTTGGAAATTTATGTCTATTTTATTTAAGTTTATTATCACAAGCATGTTGAAATCCATAGAATTACAAAACTAGGTAAACAATACCTAGTTTTGCAATGTCTATGTAAATATATGTGAAGTACATATATCTGACATGTGACATCACCAAATCCTTGAGGCGATTAAGGGTTGGGTGGTCATCGAGGCGTTGTGATTGGCAACTTTTAAAAACATTAGAGAGGATTACTCTTGAGGCATTGCTTGGCTCTTCTTGGAGTGGAATCGATCTGGATAGCTCTTAGCATGTTACGTGATTTTTATGTTGGTTCTAGTAAGGGCAATTCAACACTACATTCGGATTAGAGGCTTCAGATTTTGACAACATAAAACTCATTCATTCTACAATTCTCGTAAAATCTGAATGGTCACTTTTGGGTTCACACTTACTTGCCGAAGCGTTTGCTTACTGAGCCAAAAACATTTAGGAATCCACAAGTTGTTTTTCTAGTTTGCTTTGGTTTGGTTGAGTCGAGCTATATATTAAAGAAAATTTCGCCTTTCCTCAATTATGCGGAAAACATAGTTAGAATGTTCCGCTTGCGTTTCTCTCCATCTCACCCTTCGGATGCCGGAATGAAAATTTAGATTTGGGGCCAACCCACACGAACTGCAGCGGCAGTGAACCCTCTTAGGTCATTGCCAGGTCAGCTTCCCCTTTATCACACGGAAGGGAATGTTAGTTTCATATATCCTAGCTGAAAGTAAAATCAATTGTTGCAAAGTACCAGACACATCCACCTCAAACCTTCTGTTTCTGGGTCAGTCAACTCCACGTGTATTTTACCGTCTTCCCATCTTACTCATTTAGCGACTTCTTTCCATTGCATTGCAATTCAACAAAGAACTTTCTCCGCACATCATGGATTCACATGTACCTCCGCTTCATGACGGTGGTGTGTATGCAAACCATGCATTTGCTTCCAACCCCACTGCTATGGGTCCAAAGTCCGTCCGCATGAAAGTACCATTTCATCTGCACTATTTTTTGGAGGTTTAGCACACCCAAGCATTCAAATGCATTTTCTCTTTTCACAATACTTTGTGCATTTCCTCCCTTGGAGATGGGGTTCTCATATGCAAGCCACCGCATTCCCAGCGTCCCCGTGGAACTCACGGGTGGCTCTCAAAAGCGAAACTTGCTTGAATGTGATGCGGAGTAGACAAAAATGACCAAAAACAAAAAATTGCCTGTGTAAAACCTGAAATTATTCAGTTAGATGGCATGAATGAGGAAGTGGATGTTGTGAAGAGTGATGGGCATTGGAAAGATCATTGGATCATTCAGTTAATCGCAATACATGGAGAAATGCACAACACTTTTTCAGCCCTCCCTAAGCAAGATGAAGTTAGCAATCCTTGCCTTGAATTTATTGAAATTGGAAATATTGACTTCAAATTGAAAACAGGAAGATTTTTGTGTATTTTGTTATATCTATGACTGTATACCCATTTGTATTATTGATGGTATAGCAAACTATTATCTATCATCTAGCCAGAAGGGTGGATATGATAAAGAGCCGCAATTTCATTCTAGTGCCGGAGTAGATTTACTCGAATATAGTCAAGAAGATCTAATGAATGCTTGTACGTCCCTGCTTGACGTCGTGGAAAATTGAAATTCCTCCAAGCATCTAAATTTTTCATTTTTTTTATTGTGCCCACCACTTCCATGGAATTTTTGTTATGATATATCCTAATTTTTCTCCATCCTAGATTAAATTTTCATATTTGAGAGAACGTAGTAGCTCATCCTTGCCAAAGAAATTGATCAGTCTTGTCTTGATTTCCCTTGTAGCTCAAAGACAGAGATTTGAAATATGAAGCAAACTTTATTAAAATTTTCTTTTCACCTGTGGGTTTTTGAGATGTCAGCTTGAAGTAAATGAATTACTGAAACCTAGAAGACTCTCGGATTGGCAACAATCGCGAATTCTGTGTCTACCCCCTTGTAGTAGCTCAGAGTTGAGAGAGTTACATAAGAATCTAATTGATGTCGTTACCTCAATTAAAGTGCTTGAGTGCATCTCCATGGTGTTTTTGCCGATTTTGAGCTATTAGCAGCTTCTTCTTGACCTGATGTAGTACTATATGAATATGCTCCACAAACTCGTTGAATGCTGCAACTTTTGTTGAAAACTAATCTACTTTTGAAAATTGCATCAAACCTGAAGGAGTGATAGAATAAACACCATAGATGAACTAAAATGGAAACATTTTAGTGTATGCATTAACAAAATTGTTATATGCAAATTCTACAAGAGGCAAAATGGTGTCTTATTCTTCTTGCTTTTTTAATGTGAATGCTTGTAAAATATACTCTATGATTTTATTTGCATTCTCCGCTTCTCCATCAGTTTGATAGGTTGTTGACATTGCTAGTTTTGTTTTGAAAAAAGTAAATAGATTTTCTCAAAATAATCTAGTGAAGTGATTATCCCTATCCGTAATTAACACTTTGCATAAGTCATGATTCACAAAAATCGTATCTAGATAAAATTGAGCTAGTTGTGGAGCTATTAATGTTTTTGTGGTGGCATGATGTAAATCATCTTGCTCAATTTGTCCACCAAAACCATCACATAATCATGTCGTAACAAAATCTTTGGTAACTCATATACAAAATCCATGATGACATATTTCCATCGTTGTTCAAAAATAGAAAAAAGTTGTAATAAACCAGTTGGTTTATGATTATTTGCCTTGTTTTGTTGACAAGCAACACAACTCCAAATCTTCTTGTATTTTGAGCCAACGGTACACTTGTTGTATGCTCTCCACAATTTTCTTAACTTGCAATGACTATGTCATGTATTTTGACCAAAATCATTGTGAAATTTGATCTTGTGGATTCCAAATTCATTTAGTGAAAATATTCAACAACGTAGCTCACAAGTGTTTGTTAGTGAAAACATACTACAGGCTGGAATTTTATGAAGTCATTGGATCGAGGTTTAAATATTGTTTTGAATTTATTTCTATATGGGGATCTCGACAAAGTTTCTTTTGAATCGACAACAGTTGAGTCCAACCGGATGTTGCAGCTTAGAAGTCCTAGAGCGTACAACAAATGTGCAGAGCAAATTGTGGTGCAACATACTACTTGAAACTTTCTATCATCAGAAAAATCGAGACTGGAAATGATTAAAATGGAGATCCGAAAACTCATTGAAGCAAAAGATTCTAAAATTTTGACCTACTGTAATAACCCACCAAAGGCTAAAACTGCAGTATGGTGGTAAAAAGATCGAACCCACAGGGACAGAGGCAACATACAGAGTAAAAGTGTCACGTTTAACAGACTTTTGTAGAGTTTGAATTCTAGGCGACTGTCACTCCCAGAAATACTGCAGTGCTCGACTCGGAGGCTCGACTCGGAGGATGCTCGGAGGATGCACGGTACAGCGTGGTCACTCAACACACACACACACACACACACACCTGAAACTGGCAAAAAGCACAACTGGGAGGTCGGTCAGGACCTCCGCTTCGGATTTCAGGAGGAAAGTGTCTCAAAAGTTCACTCAGAGGTTCTGCAGGTAGTGCCTCCCACTCCGGCTTTTACTGCCCTTCCGCCAGGAACTAGCGTAGGGTACCCGGACTGGACTTCCCACTTCGGAACGAAGCCTCTTCATACGCCGTGGACGTCACCCTCGACTCTCACACCAAACGCAGGGAGTGCAGACCCGACTGAGAACTTAACTGAGACACGATCCAGTAACACACACACAACCTGAATTGCAAACCAAGGCTTACACGAAGTAATAAAACTTCACATTGGCATTCAGGGGAAACTTCCCGTAGGAGTACAATCAGGATATGTCACTCGAAGGAGTAAGGGGGAACTGTTCAAGTATCTAACTCGCAGCCGGCTCTGAGCATCAGAAATCACCCGCAGGTGCAGATCCGCACTACTCAAGTCTCTAACCGGGTACTAGCTCTGAACATTCAGCCGAAGGCCTTCAACTACAACATACGGTAACTTCGCTATGCTGCAGCTTCTCTACGTGGTGCCAGGACCAAAATGCACAAACACGCCAAGAAAGTGAGTTCCTGATCTGCACTTCCGAAACTGGAAGAGTCCCAAGGCAAAACGCCTTGATCTACTTTATACCCTCAAAGGTCCTAACTAGCACTACGCTATCCTATCTACTACTCGCAACATCTGCGCGAAACCAAACTATACTACTGCACTCGGCGGATCCGGTGCTGCGCCTCCTGCGCGCCGGACTGCTCCGCTCACTGTCTCTTCCTTGCCAGTCTTCCGACCGGCTGCGCAACCCCAGGCGTCGGAGCGCTGCAGTGACTTCCGACTCTAAGTGCGCCATAGTGTCGCGCGCACCCGACAAGAAGGTTTCTAATTTCCTCGCCACTCGCCGCCGACTCCGACTGTCACCCTCCGTCAATGCCGCCGCCCGAAGCTCGAACTCCCTGAGTGTGATCCTCTCTTGAGCTGCCACCTCCCAATGGGCGTATCCTTTTAGACAATGAGTCACCCGCGTCGCCAACTCTTCTCGCGCCCTGCAGCTGCCTTCCACCTCTGCTAGCTGCATTTCCGCTTCCGCACGCTGCGCCCTCAAATCCGAGCACTCGGATTGCAAGTTGCGCAACAACTCCTCATCCTCCTTGCGGGCTCTTTGACTTTCTTCTAAGGCGCGCGTCTGGCGCACAAGCTCGGCTGCTAGGACGTGGTTTTGTCTCCGCTCTTCCTGCAATTCCGACTCGATCTTTGCCCGCATTAGCTCGGCATCCGCCTGACTTTTTGTCGCCGCATCCTCCCTCTGCTGCTGCAAGGCTTGGTATAGCTTCTGTGTGACCGCCAGGTGTTGTCGGAGGGCGGTGTTCCTATCCACATATACTTGGCACCTAGAGGCCCAAATGTCCACCTTGCTCCTCGTCCTTTGCCTGATATTCTCCACATAAGACTGCGGTTTTCCAGTACCCGCGTACTTGGATGTCTTGCGATCCAGATATCGCAGGAGTGAGACTATCTGCTCGCACAACACCCCTGTTGGCGTTTTCTGCACAGAATCCGCTTCCTGCTCTTCCGAGCTCGTCTCATCCTCAGTCTCGAGGATTTCAGTCGCCACCGAATCCCTTGGCGACTCCCTGGAACTGTGGCGCGCAGCAGCTTCCGCTGCGACTGCTGCTCCACTGCCTGCTAAAATATCCAGGGCAGTGGGGGATCCCACTGCTTGAGCCCCTGTTCCGGCTCGATCTTCGGTCTCCGAAGGGGTCGACGCCGCAGTGACTCTTGTCACTTTTGCACCGCCCGCTTCTGTTGCCTGCCCTTCCGGCGCAATCCGC